TTGGGGAGGCAGTTCCGGGGGGGGGGGCAGTCCCCCAGGAGGTGGGCCAGTTCCCCAGGGAATGAGGCAGATTCTGGGGAGCTGACCCAGCGTGCGCACACATACACGTACATTCTCTTTCTTTGCAGCCAGAGGCCTGGCTCGCTCCCAGATTTTGTACACATGCGGTGCCCGGAGGTGGGCCAGTTCCCCAGGGAATGAGGCAGATTCTGGGGAGCTGACCCAGCGTGCGCACACATACACGTACATTCTCTTTCTTTGCAGCCAGAGGCCTGGCTCGCTCCCAGATTTTGTACACATGCGGTGCCCCCCCGGGGTAGGTGATCAGGTGTGCAGGCGCCCGAGCCTGTGTGGTAGAGTTAAGGTATGCCCCCTATGGGGTGAGCACCACTAACCTGGAGTCCGCCCTGCCTTACCAGGGTGAGCATTAGGGATGGAAAATCCTGTTTAAAATGTTAACTGGTTAAATGTATAATATTTAATTGGTTAAATTGCCCGTGGTTTGCTGCGGGAGGGAAGCTGTTCCAGCCAGGCCGGGTGCCAGTTAATCCATTACCCTGGTAAGCACATGGGGAAGGCAATGCTTACCCGGTAATCAATTACCCCTTTACATCCCTAGTGAGCATCAGCATGCCAGGGTTGGCCCTGCTACATGGGAATCGGCCCTACTAGCAAGCACCAATGCATCAGCATGGGCCCTGCTTTATGGGGTCAGCACCTATAGTTCAGGATCCCACGGGAAGGCAATCTAAGGGGAAAAGCTGTTCAGGAGAGTTGACAGTTTTTCAGAGATGTTATTAAGGGCATGGGAGCAAACTGTGTAGGACTGATAAGTGCAGTGTGGCAAGAGGCCACCCTGGCTTAACCAGGAGATCTTCAATGATCTGAAACTCAGAAAAGAGTCATACAAAAGTAGAAACCAGGTCACATGAAAAAGGATGAATATAAGCAAATAACAGATATATATAAGGGTGAAAGGCCAAGGCACTAAGCAAGATTAAACTAGTCAGAAATGTAAAGAGACCAGTCTACAAATACATTAGAAGTAAGAGGGAGGCCAAGGACAGATTATGTCCCTTACTCAATGGGGTAGGAAGAACAAAATGTTTAGTAGCAATTGAACATCTATCTTAATGTCAATGAAAATTAAGTAGGATCAGGGCTAAAATAGGGAGAAAATGTTAGATATTGCATAGATAAGTTAGACGATTTCAAGTCACCAGGGCCTGATGAAATACATCAGGAGATATCTGAGCCATTAGCAGTTATCTTCAAAAGCTCATGAAAGACAGGTGAAATTCCAGGACTGAAAACGACAAAAATAGCACCCCTCTGTAAAAAAGGGAAGACGGCCAACACAGGGAATTCCAGATCGCTACTGAGTAAACAATAAAGCCCTCAAGTTGCAGACATCTGAAAGATAATAAGGTGATAAGTAACCGCATGGATTTATAATGAACAAACCATGTCAAACCAACGTAGTAGCTTGCTTTGACAGAGTAACCAGCCTTGTGATGGGGGAATGATAGCTGTGGCACATCTTGACTTAAGTAAAGCTTTTGATAATCTTTCACACGGCCTCATAAGCAAACTAGGGAAATCCAATCTTGCCTTAGCTACTATAAGGTGAGTGCAGAACTAGCTGGAAAACTATTTCCCGAAAAAACTTAAAAAACAACAAAGAGTCTAGTAGCACCTTAAAGTCTAACAAAACGTGTTGATGGTATCATGAGCTTTCATGGGCAAAACCTATTTCTTCAGTTGACTGGAGTATAGTAAGTCCAGATCCAAGAATAAATAAGGAAAGGAGGGAGGGAGTGGGAAGAAGGAAAAAGGGGAGGAGAGGAAGAAGAAAAGAGACAATGAGTAGATAGTTCAGATAGTTACAAGAAGCTGTTAAGACCCAACCAGGAGGGGAGTTACAGCAAGGGAGGTTAACAGCCAAGGTGGAAAGGCTGGTCCCACAATGATCAGTGCTGGGTCCAGTTCTGTGCAGCGCCTTCATCAATGATTAGAGCAGGGGTGGCCGACCTAAATCTGAGAAGGAGCCAGAATTGGCCAATGCACCTTGCCAAAGAGCAACAGCAGCATGTCACCAGCCCTGCTCATCTCCCCACCACCACCCGCAGCACATCCAGCCCACCAGCAGCCCCACGGGTCAGTGCTGCCTCCTCCTTTTCCTCCCGCCCACTGGGATCAGCTCTGTCTCGGTGGGAGACACTGGAGGGGGAAGCAGGCTCGGTGGGTGTGACAGGCTCGGTGGAGAGGGTGGGAAGTGGCAGGATCCTAAGGGAAGGGCCTTGGGCAGAGCTGGGGGTTGGGCAGTGAGGACCCTCCTGGCCCAGTGGAAAGTTGGCACCTGTAGCTCCAGCCCTGGATTTGGTACCTATGCAAGGAGCCGCATATTAACTTCTGAAGAGCCACCCCTGATTCAGAGAATGGCAAAGAGACTGCACTTAACCCAGTTTGTGGACGATACCAAGCTGGGAGGGGTTGCAGGTGCTTTGGCGGACAGGGTTAAAATTCAAAACGATTTGGACAAATTGGAGACGTGAGCTGAAGTCAATTGGAGGACATTCAATAAGGACAAATGCAAAGCACGCCACTTAGGAAGGAGCCGCGATCTGCACACACGCAGAATGGGAAGTGGCTGCCCAGGAAGGAGCACGGGGAAGAGATAACAAGCTAGATGTCAGCAGTGTAACACTGCTGCCACACAATCATTCTGGGATGTATTAGCAGGAGTGTTGTAAACAAGGCGCAAGAGGTAATTGTTCCGCTCCATTATGTGCTAAGTAGGCGTTAACTGGCGCATCCTGTCCCATTCTGGATGCCACATTTCAGACAAGTTGTGATCAAATTGGGGAATGTCCAGAAAAGAGCAACAAAAATTAGTAATGCTGCATTGGCAAAGTGGGCCCCAGCCCAGAAAAAGCTTTTGCCCAAATGAAACTGAGTCTCTAAGGTGTCACTCATTGTTTTTGCTGAAACAGACTAACATGGCTACCCCACTGAAAATGATTAATGGTCTCGAACAGGGGTTCCCAAACTTTTTGACATGGGGACCAGTAAATCCATTCACAAGCTTTTGGAGGACCGATAACATTCATTTGCATACTTGCATATTCATTAAGTAATGGTGAATATTCAAATAAGTGGTTTCTGGTCCTCCCAAAGCCCCCAGTGCCAGCTTTAGCAAAGCTTTTGATACAGTCACCCACAATATTCTTGCCAGCAAGTTAAGGGAATATGGATTGGATAAATGGACTGTGAGATGGATAGAAAGCTGGCTAGACCAGAGTTTCCCAAACTTTTTACTTTAGTTGGAACCCATTGTTTTTCAGTACTGTTTTTTGCAGCCCAATAATATAAACGCATATACGGAGCCAAAAGCAGTTACAAGAATCATCTTGTCCCGTGCCATGTTTTCAGTGTCAGGCTCCATTGCAGTTACACTATAATCAGCTGCTTTATGCTGGCAGGAGGGAGGGTGCAAGGAGGGGTAGGGTTGCCAAGTGTCCAGTTTTGTACCAGACAATCCGGTATTTGAGGCTTCTGTCTGGGAAACAAATTGAGAAAATACCAGACATATAAAATGTCCTGTATTTTCTAATTAGGTAAGTTTTATTATTATTAGGTGTATCAGTCCGTAGCTGCGAACTGCCTGGCTGGTAGATGTGCTCATGCTGCGAGTGTGTCTGCCAGCCAGGCAGTTCACAGCTACTCGAGGGAGGGTATGGTGGGGTAGAGGGGGGTAAAATGGAATCCCCGGAGCCGGATTCACTCATGTGCCCGGGTTCATCCCACTTCTCCCCCCCCTTC